ATAAAACTGCCAAACTCGGGGTTTCATGTCATTCTGAAATCTACCCGGGTAGTTTTCTAATCTCGGCAAAAATCACGGGGTGATTTAGCATAAAAACGGGTCACCGTTGGCCGAAACATTTGCACAGTTGGCTTCGTTTCAAGCTAATCGCAGCCGCATCAAACCAATATTGCTGTCGTCAGTTGGGGCCATATCTAGGTTTCATTTCTCACAAAAAATAAAACGCACAGTTTGTAACGGACCCGCCGTGTCTAAGTGTACCAAATGTCTTTTAATCGCCACCCTGTCAGTGTTGTCTCGCTTCCCGCTAGCTGGCCAATAGGCGGTGGTTTGCATAATCGCTGGAAATCCAGCCAAAATGGGGCAGGTGCGGTGCTGGGTGACTCTACGACAAGTGACGTGCTGTGGCATTTAAGGGGTTAACAGGTTGCAGTGGGCGGTGTCTGTGTGTCGCGATTTGGGACATATTTACTACCGCAGTGGCTGTCTGTTCCCAGCCACTGGGAAAGTCGCAAGTAGTTTGGCTTAGTTAAGACAGAGGACTGTCGAAGTGTTTTCCCACTCTCTCTAGACATTGGCTCGGTTGCTAAATTCACGATCTCCCTGTCCACGAAATGCCACACTACTATGGTTTTCAAATCGAGCGAGATGCCATGTACATGGTTGAATCTAGAACTAGCATGAAAATTGCGATCCGACCCTGGGTTGGTGGAATTTACAAGGAAAACTTACAATGCAGTGTCGAGATTTGGCGGGTACGAATACAGTTTATGCGTGTGGGAATTTGTAGAAAACGGTTAGCACCGTTAACGCCACATCTAGACTGCAATCTCGATGCTGCCTAAATATAGCTACCTCGCTTACCTTAATTACCATTCCAAGCATTGAGCCTAACTGTGCACGCAGTGTTAATGGCATCGACTCACAAAGTAGCGATAACTGAGGCTTGGCGACTGGATTAGCCAAGTGACTGCATCTCCATGGTCACGGCGACTAACTTGTGGTCTCTTGGCAAACAAGGCAGTGTTTAATACAAGACGGTTTTGCAGCCGTGAATTGAGAGTGTGTGGATTTTGCTAAACAGAGCTTCCGATTGGTTTGAAGTGGAGTGGAATAAAATTTGGACACTTGGATGAACTTGTTGGAATCCTCCATGTGTTGGCGTCTTTAGCAGTAGTCGCTTGATGGACCTTGATAAATGCACCTTCGTGGGGCCTAACTTGAACTGGAGTTTCGATTAACACCTTTGTGGTGAATGTGCTTATTCAAACGAATCCGAGGAGTTGCCACGTTTGCTAGAAGGCAAAACGCATATTGGTGCGTTGAAATGCTCACGAACACTCCCTTGTCCGGCCGTATTGGGCCTGGAAACGGCCGTTCATGTGCCTTCACAGAGGGATTTATTGAAGAAAGAGATGCAGAACCTATTTTCTCATCTCTCCAGGTGCGTAATGGTCTCAGCGTGACTTGGACGAGGTTTTCTGTGTAATCGCAACTGGCCGCTTTCTTATCTTGCACCTGCACAATACCTCGGACACACGAAATCTGTGCCGATTGCGAGACAGAAGCGATTTTTCGTGCGTTGGTCGCTTCCACCACCTGTTTGACCCACTTACCGCCATGACTTGCAAAAACCACAGCTGGATACTGCAGACCTTCCGTACTTCTAGCAACCCGATCAAATGAGTCGTATGGAAACGGGATCGGTTTCACGAGATTATAACAAGTCCCTATTTTCTGGTGTAATCAAGAATGTTGAGGATACCTGCACTCCAGTTCTGACAATTATCTTCATTCGGACGTAAAGGATCGGTTCAACTGTGATAGTGCGTGGGGCAAACCTAGTATAAAATCGCATTCTAAAACACCCAAGTGGACAGCTCCTGGATGCTTGTTACTCCCCATTAGTTTTCGTGTGTTGAAGACTGTAAAGTTTTGTGCCAATCACCTTCCGATGAGATAGATTTTAGCCAGCGCCTCCTCGACCAATTCGGAACTGTGACAGTGGTCTACCTCACGTAGGCAATTTAACCGACCACCTACGAACTCCCAGTTTGCCAAAGGGAAACCACGAGACTTGGTTCAGTGTGGAGATAAATTAACGATTTAACAGATAGATTATAGAACATGTCGCAGAGAGTGCACGCACAGTCAACTTGAGACATTATTCGACAAAGTCCACGCATATCGGCGGCGTGAGTCATTTACGCGGGTTGACGGAGAAAGCGCTTTGGAACTTGTGTGCGCTAGTTCCTTCCTCCCCACCACCGCCACCACCACCACTGGCGTTTTTTCCAAGCCCTGACGCATTTCGGGGTACTGGGAGAGGAGGGGGGGTCTTGGATGGGCTCACATCACGACGGCTTCGACATTCATGCCTTGGGGCTGCGTACTTTGTTTCGAAGGTAAAGCGCACAGTCGGTTGCAAACCGAGCTCAGACACGCATCTTTAAAGGACCTGCCTTTGTACCTCTGGTTTATATTTTTTTCTTTCAACCGTTACGCATCATTGTGCAGCAGAAAGATTCCCTGTTGATGCGTGTACGTGCGCACGCACGATTCCTGACCGTAATTCCGGCGTCACAGATGTCGCCTGCCTACGGCATCTGGCACTCCCATACACTCCACGACCTAAGCTTTCTCAGGGTTAATTTCGTACTGTAATGGTCCATTAGTAAATTCCACGAAACGTCGGAGTTCAGTAATCATCTATGTGTTACGAATTAATCCATTCCCAAAAAGTACTGTTTTCACTGAGCCCTGGTCGTGAATTTTCCTGCACGCAATGTGTACAAAAAACACACAACTGTTGTACTTTTTTACCAAATTACGAATTTCGAAAGCCATCCAAACTCAATTAAATTTCACTTGCACGCGTCAGGCATATAGTTGCATAAGTATTGGCATCGTAGCAAGACAAGAATTGGTTAGGATTGAATTGGCTCAAGCGTAGATTTGTCAACTAATTGTTGCTTCGGCAAACTTCGGTCGAGATCGTTTGTAGTTGTGTGTGTGTGTGTGTGTGTGTGTGTACGAATGACTAAGTCCGCACAAATTTACCAATTAACGCACGGTGACGAGTTTACAACTTTGAAAAAGGACACTACCAGGTGTAAACACGTGGCCTTGTGTGAGGGTAGGTGGGTACTGGTGTTACCTACCGCCCAATGTGAAAAACAACTGGCCATGCTTGGTACTGCCTATTTCCTCCTCTTCACTCCTCTCTTTTTTTCTAAACCAGCAGCACTTGGAAGATGCGACGCTGTTGATCCAGCGCACCTAGTGATTTCTCATATAAACGTGTATATTTGCCTTTCAGGCTGGTCATATTTCTACCGGAATAATTGTTAAATTGCGCAGTGTTAGAGTAGCCCTGACAGGGAACATGCATTTCGTTTCGTTTTGAGTGGTCAATTCAAAAAATCGATCGGTCAATGAGAGTCGAAAGCAACTCCTAGACAAAATTCAGATTTGAAGAATTCTTTCCGTTAGTTTGTCTTTTATCATGAATTTTCTTCCACCACAAGTAACTGTAGGTGCAAGGATGTGTATTTACTAAGCTAAACATATTCAGTAAAGTAGCATCACAACGCAGGATAAAAATCTCGCAAATCGCAGGACGAATTATGCAGGGTATATTTTAAGCATCTGTGCCGTTGGCCTCACACAAACACGTAAACTACCGTTACTGTGGTTACCCATGTATAAACACAATTTATCATCAGTAAGTTCCAATCTTCACGGCCGACTGGGGGGTATGGGTTGTCGAATTGTGGTTGTCGCGACAGTTGCCCTGGACTTTCGAACTCGTAAATGAGAGCAGAGGTCACTGATTCTCGCTTTGCCCTTTAGCAGTAAATCGACTCGGTAACCAAGGCTGTAGCATGTCATCCAAAAGTCGGAGATAGTGGCACTTTTTTCTAGGAATAAGGCGTTTGAGGTTAATGGGAGTGTGTTACCGAATCGTCTCGAGTCTAGCTGTCATAGTAGCCCAGTCTGTTTGCAAACCGCTCACATACTCGTACTTATCATTATTAATAAAAAAAGGTGTGCACAAATGGGGTTGGGTGGATGAAATGATGCGGTTTAATGACGTGTGAACCGGCATACGCTGCGCGATGTGGGGACGGAATGATGTATGGGTGTGCGATCGCATTGTCGCGTCCTCTCACAAACCGACCGTGGCGATGCGCTGCCACCCGCATGCCGTTCCGGGGCCAGTTTAGCCTGCCTTTGCGGAGACCCTGATGCCTTCAGAATCGAGTCCCACTCACCAAACCATCTCTGTTCAACCTGAGCTATAGACGCTGACCTGGGTTATCGATCGAGCTGAGACAGCAGCGCTCCTCGTACTTGGATTGGTCGATGCGACGGTGAAAACTGACACTGGCTTTTATATTGCTCGTTAATTTCGAATTTGATGTACTTCTCTGTGAGATGACATTTTAAATTACTCGTACTGACCAACGCTTCAACCACTCTCAACTGATTATGTTTTTTACGCTTCCCACAAAATGTAAACCTATCTTAATTTGTGGCATCTTCGCGTCGTGAGAAAACACGTGTGAGCCACGGAGAGCCATTACAAATGTCACCGCTTGACCATCAAGTATATCATTTTTTCTACCACCGTGGGAAGGAACGGGTTTTTGTTGATACAATTTGAAAGAACAGAACTGATGCTTAATGCCACTCATCAAATATATCAGCGGTATAAATTTCGCTTAATTGCAATTTCCGTTGTAGGTGATTTGATAAATTGCCTCTTGAGATTATTCTATGGGCATTATTAGTTGGACTTTACCGAGGTTTGAATATGCAGCAAGTACACTGTTGATGGTAGACTAGCATTATTATTCGCGGACTGCGACGTCGCAGTGCACAAAAACCGATATTTCTTTACAAGTAGTCTTGCGTTAAGGAGCATGTGAATGAATTCGTAAAGAGGCAGATATTTCAGCTGATCTTACTCCTTCTCCTCTTCTCTTTGAGTTTCAGCCATGATTGACCACTGGTTACCAGAAAAATCAATCGAAGTGTTCCTCGTCTGCGTTGTCGCAAGAGTCGTATTTGGCGCGAGCTGTGATGAAGCCTTGTTGGGGAACAGTGGGCTGCTGCCGGATTCTGCGTTCACTGCAACAAGCAATTCTGAGACGGTGGAACAGTCTATCGCTGGAGTTAGCGCTAACCTCGACCACTCTGCCAAAACAGCCAGGTAAACCCTAACTCAACCATGATTGGTCAATTTACTAATTCGAAGGTACCTCAACCAATCGATGTTTTTGCTGATAAATCTGTGTTTTGGTGTTCAGATGTCAGAGGTCAACTCTGCTGCAGTTAATCATGAGTTTAGAACAAGCCTTTTATGACATCGAGCATCAAATTAGTTCCGTGAACTCAATGCAACCCTCCAAAATTCGCAAGGATTTTGTCTTTAAATGACGAAACATATGTGTTCCTGAATCACAAGGCGCTTCAGAGTGTGACATCCAAGGCGGTAGGTAATGAATACAAGATTCGGTGTTAAATTTGCTCGGGAACTGCTAGTCCAAGGCGACGCAACTATTTTGGTTGTCAAACAACCTGTAAAATTATCACATGGAAGGACGAAATAAAAGCAGTAAATCACAAGAGACTGTCCAAGTAATCCGTTTTCGGTTGAATTGCAATTTGCCGGGTTCAAAAGTCTGCTAATTATTTGTTACCTCGTTGGGTTGTTTGTTTCTTCTTTGAATCCCTCCTACTGCATGGCAGATTGTCTGCGAATTGCGCGCGATTAGGCCACCCAGGAATTTGAGCATAAAAAGAGGCTGGGTGAGGGGATAGGGGTGGGGTTTCCTCCCATTACCCTTTTTTCCCAACCTATCTCACTTCTTCCTCTCCCTGGCTTTTTTTTCAGTCGCTTTGGTGGTGGCCCCACAAAAGCTGCGGCATTTATTTTTAAGCTGAGTTTTTTGTGGATGGTTTCACACTTGAGGCAATTGTCTTGCACCGAAGTTGACAAGAGGAGGGAGATTTAGAGCTCCACGACACAATTCCACGAGGGTGCTTTTCGGTGACTGTAATCGTATGCGATTAAACTTGCTCCCTATTGGCTAATGCATCAATCGTTTGTAGGGATATGCTGACAGGTGGCTGGTGCCCCGCCAGGAAGATCAGCACCAATCTCTCCGAGTTCATCCAGGTGGACATGGGCTCGGTGAATGTCATCACCCAAATCGCCTTCGGACCTCGTTCCGGGGTTGCGGTAAGTTGGCATTTTGTTGAATAGTCGACGTCAACACTCCCTAGGAATTCAATTATTTGCTCCAGTGCGCACCTATTCATTTGGCCGTCCTGCACCTGGCAGTGATTATGGGAAGGAATAATTGGTGTTTATCCTGCCACACCCCACCGTTAGGCACTAATTCCCTTACAGAAGTACTGGTAACAACAATAATAATGCTTACCACCACTATCCCAGGGAAAAAGTTGTCAGCTCACATGCGAACTAGCTTCATAAATTTTCCTTACTGCCTGCCGACTAACACAAAATCCGTTTTCTGTCGTTGTGTGGTCGCCTGTTCGTCAGAAACACGGTCGTTATGCGCCGATGATGATGTTTAGACGGTGAAACAGTTTACCATGGGTTAAGATTTAAATGGATGGGGGCGTGTGACGCTAAATTCTTGTCCAACTGACCCCAAATCCCTATGCGTCCACCCCTCCTCCACAGCCTCGCGCATGCTTGACCTATTTCCATGAGAGGGGAGTGCATTTTGGACCAGTTGTCACGTGGAGTTGAGCTAATTTACATGCCCTCTTAATTAATTCTCTGTATTTAGTGTCAGTGGACGTCGGTTAAGAGCCCGCGTGTCCAGAGATTTCGTCGTAGAACGTGTTTTTCTTATTAATTCCACCAGGGTTTGAACTCTAGTGGCAATGAGAGTTACTCAGCCGAGACTAATTTGATTTCGCAAGTGAGCGTCGTGTTCTACTTCATGCGTGGGCAAATATTTGACTGAGTCAGAGGGTAAACACGCAAATGCGGTTAGGCCGGGTGTTCTGTGGCTTTAGAGGGTGACCAGGACCTACCCCCTTTGTTGCGCTACCCTCAAGTGGCTTGAAAGCGATGTGGAATTAAATTGAAACTCAAATGTAAAATTGCTTCCATTTGCGTCGCCATTTAGTCGTTTGTGCTTTTAAATACAACAACCCGTGGAGCATGTTCAGTTGCATAGTTTATCAGTGTAGTTTACTTGGTCAGTCGTGTGGGAATTTGTAGAAAACGGTTAGCACCGTTAACGCCACATCTAGACTGCAATCTCGAAGCTGCCTAAATATAGCTACCTCGCTTACCC